ACCCGCCGCCGCCGCGGCCTGGGCCGCAGCTCGCTACTCTCGTCCCCCGTGACGCTTGCGTGTTCACGTGGCCCGGGCGGAGCGCATGCAGGCAGGGGCTCCGTGGCCAGCAAGTCGCCAAGCCGACCACGGCCGCGGGACACGGCGTCCCAAAGGGCCTAGTGGCCGTGGAAACCATTTAAAGTCTCAACCCCGGTTAAGGCCGGTGATGTAAACTGGTATTGGTCTCCTCGGCTGCTGTAGCAAATGACCACAAACTGGGTGGCTTAAAACATTTATCGTCTGCCAGTCCTGGAGTCAGTAAGTCTGAGATTAAAGTGTGGGCGGCTCGCCGGCCCTCCCCCCCCGGGACTCTGGGAGCACCCCCCGAGCTTCTTCCGGCCTTTGGGGGTTCTGGGCGTCCCGGGCTTGTGGCTCCATTACTCCAGGATTGGGCCCCGTCTTCACGAGGTGAGCTGCCCCAATGTCTCAGCCTCGCTCTGCCTTTCTTTTATGAGGACGCGGTCCCTGGGTTTCATTTGCACGCAGACGATCCGGGATGCTCTCACCTCCAGACCCTGTTACATCCGCAAAGGCGCCATTGACAAACAAGGCCGCGTTCACGGGTTCGGGCGGTGAGCCTCCCGGGAGGCGCTCGGGGCCCGGGGTGCGGGAGGGGGAGGGCGGGCAGCACCTCGCGAGGGGTCGTCCCCTTCCTGCAGCCCAGTGACCCGATGGCTTCGAAAGTGACCAGTTCTCTTCACAAGAAGGCCGGGGGCCCCCCAGAGGGCTTCGACCCTCACCACGTGTGTTTAGCTGCAGACGCATTTTATTCTGGCCCCGGGGTCCCCCATTCGCGGGCTTTCCTGGGTGTAGGACTTGTTTTCCAAGTTGCGTATCTGTGGCCTCGGGAGGGGGATAAGTGGGTCCCACCACCTCTAGCCGCGCGTTCCGGACCGAGAGGAAGTCAGAGCGTTTCCTGTGGGGGTCCCCAGGCCGAGCGGACCGTGACCGAAGCGTGAGTGCCCGGCGACAGTCTAGATAAACGGCCAGAGGGACATGGCTGTCCTCTCAGAAAGGAAGAATGCTTTAAAGCTTTCAAAGAATAACCCTAAGCTGCGTCTTCTGGCGAAAGTCATCGAGCTAGTCTCCCGCCCGTCGTCAGCAGCTCATCTTCTGAGCCCTTGTTTGCAGGTTCTGGAGAAGAATCAACCCACGAGTGACATGTCCTTAGAGATCCTAAACCATCTATTCCTTTGTCACGAATACCGTCCCCTTCACGGGCGTGCCCGCGGGAGGGGGACGGACCGGTGCGGACCCTGTCTGGTGGGAGACCTCGAGTTTCTGCCCCTCGCTTGTGAGTCGTCTGCACCTCTGAGCTTCCCGTAGAGGCCCGGTGGCCCGTGGGTTCCAGCCCGAGGGACACTTGAGGCTGGGCCCTGCATGCGGGCCGGAGGAGCCTGAGAGGGTGCCGTGGCCCCGGGGGAGTCTGGCGTCTTCACGCTCGTGTCCCCGGCCCCCGGCACGCGGTGAGACTCGGTGCAACTTCGTCCGCTGAGCAAGTGGACGAGCGGCCGCAGGGTCCGCTCTCTCCAGAGAAACCAGCAAGGAGACCTGGCAGATGTCATGTGAGGGAATCCAGGGTCCCCTGCGCTTTCTGGGGTTGGGTGACAAGCAAGGCAGTGGCCGGAGAGAGGAGACGTGAAGCCAGCCCAGACCGAGCGACCACCAGCTGGGTCCGCATCGGTGACAGCGTGGTCACCTTCAGGTCTGGGCCTGTAATTTAGGGCCAGACCTAGCGAATCATCTGTCATAGTCCGTTCCCTCAGTGGCCGTGACAGGCTTTAACATCCTGTCGCAGAGACGGCTGACCCCAGGGCCAGGCCGGAGGGACAGCCCCGAGGGCGCTGCAGCCCCGCACTGTCGGAGCCCACCCTCCAGCCTGCGTGTGCGGGCTGACGTCCCACCCCGCGCCCAGGAGCGAAGGGGAACAGGCGCCCGCACCCCGCCGTCTCGTCGGGGTTGCTCCGTGGCTCCCCTGCACCACCTGCCTGATTCGGGGCGTCGCCCCCTCGGGCTCTGTGACTGGAAGTCAGAAGGGCGTCAGCCAGCTGGGTGGGGACACCCCGGGGAGCCCGCGTGGCTCTGCCCACGACGCTGTCCCATAACCAGACGGTTAACAGATCAGGAAACCTCGTCGTGTTTTGTGCCAGGTAAAGGCCTTCTGGTTCAGACGGTGACGTGCGGGGGACTTTCGAAATGCCATCGGAGGGTGTTACGAACAAACTATCTCGAGTAGTTTTCCGTGGAAGTGTCTGTTCTCACTGGCAATTATAAATTATCTAGGACTTGGGGCCGGGGCTCGTTTTCCCGCCTGAACCCAAATTGGTTCTTTGCTCTCTGGCGTGTTTCTGCTGGGGTTTTACAGGCAAATCGCTTCGGAGGTGGGGTCGGCCGTGACACGTCTTCCTGAGCGTTGTGCCGTGCCCGTGGCCGAGGCTTTGCGGTCGGCCCCTCCCTGGAGTGGGCGGCCGCGTCTGGGGCTGGTCTGTCCTCGGGGTAGTGTGGGGACGCTTCTGGGAGATGTGGGGACGCTTCTAGGAGCCGCCACCGTTGGCTCCCACAGTGGCTGTTACGGCCTGTGACTTGGACTGGCCTGCGGGTCACCCTGGGCCCTCACCGGCCCACCCCGGAGGCTCCTGTCCCCCGTCCACCCGCCTCGCTCTCCGGGCTGCTTGGCGGGAACCCGGCCTGGGCCCTCATCCTCCCAGCCCGGCCCCAGCGACAGGCCGAGGCCCCCACGGGTGCTGCTCCGACTCAGCGGGACGGAACCAAGACCGTGTCTCTTTCAGGGCCTGCGCCTTCTTTCCCCGCGACCTTGTAGAAGGGCAAGAACCCATCCGCCTGGAGATTCTCCTACCCACACGTGGTGACACAGCTGTGTGTCAGCCCCGACGTGACTCTCCACACGGCCCAGTCCTTAAGCCAGCGCTGCTCGAGACCACCCACGAGAAGCCCCTGCACGGATGAGCAGGCTGAGGCCGGGTGCCCCAGGGCTCTGGGTCACGCTGAGTGGGTTTGGGTCCAGCCGCCGGTGACTCTGCCGCTCAGACGTTCTTCCTGGAAGACAGACCGGGCCGATGGACAGAGGTGTTCGAAACCCCGAAAATAACTTTTAAATTTTAGATTAGCACTAATGCCGCCAACAAGGAATTGCTGCTGTTAATGTGTTGCCGTATCCCTTTCTAGATTTTTTTCTGTGGTTTGGTACCATATTTTTAGTGGCTGCTAAAAATTCTGATATATGGATTATCAAGATTCGCTTATTCGTGTCCTCAGTATAAACATCTTGCTTCCAAGTTCAGATAACCATTTGGCCAGTTTCTCTCCGTACGTGTATGTTCTTCTAATTTGGGACAAGCCTCACCAGACGATTTATTGGCGACGTTATAAGACTTTTCTTTTTTACAAGAATAACTTCAAAATCAGAGTTGTGGGGTCTCCTCCACACACACACAGACACACACACAAGTTCTCATTTTTCGACTGTGGTCATTTGGAAGTGATAGTGTCACCGTGGAGTTTCACATCCAGGGCGTCTGGGGCCACACAGGTCCTCGGCAAACGGAGCCTGTGGCAGCCCCCGGGAGGCTGCAGGAAGCCGGGTCCTCACAAACGAGCCACGTCACATCTCTCCGCAGGTGACATGGCTGCAGCAGCAGCAGGTTAGACGCCGGGTGAAGAGGCAGGTGCGGAGCGACCCCCAGGCCCTGTATTTCAACGACCCCATCTGGTCCAACATGTGGTACATGGTGAGTGGGACGCGGCCTCTCTGTGCCCGGCGTCTGCGGTGGCACATGTCCGGAAGGGCTGCTTTCCCCAGCGAAGCTAAATTCTCGCCATGAAACCCCAGACACACTCGTCTTGAGCGTGAAACCAACGCTTTAACCTTGGGCGGGGGCGCGAGTTCGCTCCTGATTTTTAAAAATCATATGAAAGTTGTCAGGGGGCCTCTGAGCAGGCCGTGGGACCAACAGAAGGGTGAGGTGAGCCCCCGGACAGAGGCCCGAGGGGGCGACGTCCCAGGAAAATGACAGCCGCATGGGCAGGTGCAGGGTGGGGCACGGAGCGTCCGTCCCGGGCCCAGACCGTCCCTGTCGGGCGCTCCGTGTCTCCTGTGCACGCAGCACTGCGGCGACAGACACAGCCGCTGTCGATCGGACATGAATGTCCAGGCGGCATGGAAGAGAGGCTACACGGGGAAGAACGTGGTGGTCACCATCCTGGACGACGGCATAGAGAGGCATCACCCCGACCTGGCCCCGAACTACGTGAGTCGGCCTGGGACGAGGAGCTCTGCGGCCCCACCGGCCCCGAGCCACTCGAGGCCCCCGACGTGGGGACCGCGCAGTGACCGCCGCAGATGCGGTCTTCTTCTCTGGTTTCCTCTGTCACGTTTTCTTGTCCCCGGCTTCCTTTCTTAGACGAGTGCCGTGTGTCACACGCAAAAGACAAAATGCGCTTAACTGACCCTTCACGTCCCCGGCGAGGCTTCTGGTCGGCGGTCGCCTCCTGGTAGCTCAGTTTTGGGGAAGTCGAGGGTTATACGCAGATTTTCAACGGCGGAGCTGGGTGGGCGCCCGTCACCCCTGGTGTTCAAGGGTCGACTGTGCAGATTTGAACACTGTAAAGTGCCGTTCCCCGTAGAAGAGGAGGCCGCGCGGACACCGCCGGGGAGGGCTGCCGGCCACGGCGGCGGGGCCGGCGCGCGTCCGTTTTCCATGGGTGGCGCAGACGGTCACAGCAGGGCTGTCGTGTGCTGTGCCTCCTCGTTGACCAGGCTGTCACTTCTCAGGACCCCTACGCCAGTTACGACGTCAACGGAAATGACTACGACCCGTCTCCACGGTACGACGCCAGCAACGAAAACAAGTAAGTCCTCCGGGTCCCCGCCCCGCTGCCTCCCACAGACGGGACACGGGGCAGCCGATGTGGGGGACGAGCCGGGCCTGTTGCCCGGCCCGTGCGTGGGGTCACCCGGGAGCCGGCGGCCAGGCCCTCGGGCTCCAGGCCGTGTCCCCTCTGCGGCCGGCCCGGCACGGATGCTCGGCCACCAGCGTCCCCGCTGCCGGCCTGGTCTGGCCGTTTTAAGGGAATGACTGTTGGAGCCCGTGGCCGCCACGCCCGGCTGTGCCGAGAGCCACCGGGCCTGTTCGCGCAGCAAGTCGCGTGCCTGAGCCTCCGGGACTCGGGCGTGATGCTGGGGACTCCGGGCTCGAATCCCAGCATTCCCGGCCGCGTGGCTTCAGGCGAGTTGGGTCCCCTTAGCCTCCGCGTCTCGGAGGCTTTCCCGGGGCTGCTCCCGGCCCCCAGGGCTGGTGCGTGCGGGAGAGATGACAGGCATTGTCACCAAGAGCTGGCGCCATCACTTTGCAGGTGCGGGTGGCGGGGCGGAGAGATTGGGTGACTCGTGTGCTGTGAATGGCAGCCCTGGGGGGGTGTCCCGTGTCCCATAGCCGGTCCTGGGCGTCCACCGCTCTGTCCTGCTTGTCCCTGATCTGCCAGCTGCCCCTGCCCTGAGTGCCCGTCATGCTTCTGCGTTTGGAGGAAAAGAGCAAAAGCCATTTTTTCCCTCAGCACGGCGCTGGCCGAGGCGCGGGCCCCTCGGAGGGTTTGGTTTCCATCACTCTGACTCCGGGGTCCCGGCCCCGGTGCCCAGGGGCGGGGATCTACTCGGTGGCAGCGACCGCAGAGGCCCAGCCCCCAGAGTCCTCCTGCCGCGCGCCCCGCGGTCCTTGTCATGCTCCTGCTGAGACGGGGTGGGGACGCGGGGCCGTCGGGACGGGCGTGGGGTGGCGGGCCCAGCGCGTGCTGTCAGCCTGGCCGGCGGCGACACCGCGCCTGTGCGTGCCACCCACTGCGTCCTCGGTCA